AGTATGATTGGACAGCTCGCAACAATTCATTGATGCGTTTTGACAGGCCAGCGCCATGTCGCTCGGTGATGTGCATTGACCGGCCGCTCTTGCTATAAAACGCCATGTAGCTAGCTAGCTAGACATTTAAGCAACATGCGAGCATCGAATGAGCGCAAGCGCAAGGCGCGCGCTGAGCAGAAGGCCACCGAGACGCCCGAAGAAAAGGTCGTGCGGCTTGAAAAAGCACGCAAGGTCAAAGCGAACTCCCGCACGGCAGTTGATTGCGAGCTCGAATTGCTCAAGACGACCCCGGAAGTCGTACCAGTGACCCAGAAAAACACGCAGCGCCAGGGTAATTCATCCCTCCTCCAACACACGGCACATTCACAACAATACCACGTAGGAACACAGTCCGCACCATCCAACACCAACTACATGCCACTGTCTAGTCTACGTCCAGGACCATGCTCAGAACCAATCCAGGCGCGGGTTGTCGCCAAAACGTTGTCCATGTACACGAACAAAACGACGAAGCAGAAACAAACACTATGCAAGATCATGCTCCGCGACCGGGACAACGCCGAAATGCCATGCATTCTGTTCCACAATGCCTACCGGGATTTCGGTGGCATGCTGCGCATCGACAACGTTTACACGTTTACCAACGGCCTCACAAAGCCGATCAAGCTCGAGTACCAACAAAACGGTCAAGAACACGAGTACATATTCATGGCCGGCACAACGGTCGCCCAAGACGACGACATAGCAACAATCCCGCACATGGTCTACGTGTACACCACTGTCGCAATGATTGGAAGCATCACCGTGCCTCCCCGCCACCAGCAACAACAATCCAACCCACTCACGATTGTCGCCGTTTGCACGACGGTCGGCCCCCTGCAGGAAGTTGGCCCAAACAAGACGGTCAAGCGCGACATCACGTTGCTCGATGACACCGGCACGATTAGCCTCACACTTTGGGTCGCATACGCCGAAACCGCGAAACCCGAGTGGCAAGGTCAGACCATTCTGGTTCACCAATTCGTCGTCGCCGAATATCTCTACGTGAAGTACTTGGCCACTACGTATCGAACCACACTCGATATCGACCCCCCAACACCCGAAGCTACTCGCCTCCGCCAATCGTTGCACCAACAAGGTCGTCTGCCTAGCACCAACTAAAATACATAATCCATAAAATTTCATCGTTCCTACCAGCCCACTCCCCCGGACCCTAGTTAAAGTCTCCGACGTCCTTGGGCGCTGGCAAATTCTCAAATGAGCACAAACGAGCCCTCCACGGAAAAGAGCGGCTGGAGAATGAATGGCTCGCTGCCCAAGGGCGTTCCCGCCAGTCCTTTGCAATCTCTGCGATAAGGCGCTTGAACGGACGCCCGTCGACGTGCCGGGGCAATCAGCTCCGGCGCCAACCGGCAACCCCGTCTCAAGCTCGTTGCCGTGGGCAAACGATGACGCGCACGAGCACGACGACGGGTTTGAGCATGAGCCCGAGGAGAGCGACCGTCCGTCTGATTCCGTGTCGTCTACTCGCCCGAACGAAGCGCCATCGCTCTCAGACGGCTTCGAAGACAGCTCGACGACCTCCGCTTCCCATGGGCCGTCTCCAACGCCACCGACGGTCACGCCGAGCTCGGCGGCGTTGTCGCAAGTCGACCAGCTTTACCTCGCAAACGTTACAAATTTTTTTGACGGCGACGATGAGCTGCCGCCGAAGACGCCGGCAGCAACCACGTTTGCTCGAGATGCAACGACAGCATCGGGGCCGATTTCTCGGAACCCAGCCGCTCCGTCGCCGCAGGCCGCGTGGCATTCGACGGCGTCCGGGTCCGGTGGGAGGAAGCGCAAGGCCGTCGACGCGAGTCTTGACGTTGTGACTTCGACGTCAAGTGCGGCGGCCCAATCAACATCGCTCTACGGTCACGCGGCGACGATCAAGGCGTCAAACGACAAGACGAACAGCTTCGTGACCGACGTCACCACGTGGCTCGATCAACCCCTCTGGTGCGGCTTCTGCGCGGCGTATGGCAAGAAACAAGTCAAGGCGCACAAGAACCCTCAAAAAGAGTGTCTCCCGCTTTGCCAGTTGCCAAGCAATGTGTGCTTCCAGTGCCTCGAGCAAGGACGACAGGTGCACAGCGCCAAAAACTGCCCGCGCCACTTGAAATTCCAGTCCCTCCCCACGAAGTACGACTTGTGCTTTATGTGCTGGCTTCCGAAGCGCTGCATGATCAAGAGCAAAACCAGCGGCGAGGGCGACGACAAGCACGCCCACAAGTACGGCAATTGCAACAATCGGTCGATCAGGGACTACATCTGGACCACGTGCTGGCGCGCGTTTCGCTCGAAGGATGCGAAGATATGGGCCTGGCTCGACAAGGAAAGCTCCCACACCGATCTTCGTCAACAAGATCTGTTTGCGCCGTGGCTCGTCCAAGTACGCCCTGAATACCCCGACGTCATGAACGCTCTGCGCCTCGCGCACTTCTTCCATAGTAATAACTGCACATAAAAAAGAATGGTTTTTGAGCAATGTCATTCATTCGGAGCGTTGTAGAGTAGTTCTCTCGAGAGCGAGAGTGCGAACGGTGGCATCTACCGGCGCTTTTTCTCGACTCATCGTCGACTAATTACCAGCTCGGCTCCGATATAATTTATTTTGCCCTTTGATGTTGATGCGCATTAGGACACGTGTTGTAACGATGCGGCCTCTCGTGCGTAAACTCCTCGATGTCCTCGCGCATCGAGTGCCACCTTGTCGAGCAGCGATTAGTGCCGATGGAAAATAGTAACAGTAGCTCCATGTACTCCGAGCCAAGCAATGAGGATCGTCCACCTCGAGGTTGGACTCTTCTCGAGCGCGATGTGTCGACGTTTTGTTAATTGATACATTACTTGGTACTTGAAGCACAACATGCTATATATTCGATCACGCGGAGACAACGTCGAGCGTGAGCAGGTCAGCCGTACGGTAGTCTCTCAAAGCTAAGCGAGCTTGTTGATGTCCGCAAGGTGGAAAGTCTACGCATATTAGCAAGGCCTGCCGACTCCTCGGTGCCATTCCCTCGGCGTCATATTCCGCCACGCTTCGCAAATACAAATTTATGCCACCTGGCGAAGCACCGGAAACAAGCACTCGTATTTTTGAGCCCCCGACCTCCTTTCGAGCGACACCCGGTTGTTGTTGTAACCAGCACTACGTCTTGTTACGATAAATATGACTAGCTTCCCGAAAGCATGATGCGATTGGCACGCGACAGCGATTCCAGCACTTGCGCGACGCACAGCGATGCGCTCGACGCACGACAAGAACGCCACTATAACAAGTGCCACATCTCGGGACGTAGGCCCCGGTGCACCTCTTGGACGCTGCTCCCTTTCGCCGGCACGAAGGCACGCTCTTTGGCGGCTCAACGGCTGTAACGGGGCATGCAACGCCCTGTGCACCCTTGGCGGCGTCAGCCCTTTCACCCGTCCACCGGTGACCCGGTGGCTAATAAGTGGGGCCGTACGGCGCAAGACCTACTGTCTCCCAAGACATGGCACTCGAAGAGTGCATCCTCGCGGCGGAGCGCAAGCGCTTGCTTGGCGCCTGGCGCAGCGGATGCCTAAACAACACTGCGTGAGATCGTTGCTCACAAACGGTTGTAGCCTACATTGCGTGTGTCGACGTTGCTTTCGAGATGCGAGGCTTCGGGTACTTTGGACGTGGCGGACGCGCTCGGCGTGTGGGTGGATAATCTACGGACTGCGCGAGCTATGAGACGTTGTACCAAGAGCTACGAAGACCCACACTATTTGTTGTCGATGCGGGGACGCCGGGCGATGAGGCGCGGGTGAGACGGGCTGCGTTGTTGCTTCGTACGGTGTCGAACGGCGGGAAAACGCGTGGGGCGGCGCGTCGGTCGCATTCTCTTGGTCGGTCGACGACACTCGTCAGTGCTGTCATCGTCGTCGACACGCTTTCGTTTTGATGGAGCGTCACTGTCCGTCTCATCGTCCCAGTACTCGGACATGTCGACGTCATCCGAGTACGCGTCGTCGTCATCGATGTCGGACATGTCCTCCGACACATCGGTCGTGCTCATCACGTCGTCGCCACAGACCGAAATGTCTTCCGAGTAGCCCTCGGAGGCCGTGTCACAGCTCCACGACGACGACGATGCCCACGACGCGAACGACGCACCCCAAGGCGGCGATGGCGTGTGGTCTTGCCACGCGTACACTGGTGGGTCCGCGGGGACGTTGTACCAGCGCTCATCTGAATGCCAGCCCCAGCTCGTTGAACCTGCCGTCGCCGGGTCGAAGGTTGGCGCTGGCACATGGCCGCCACATGGGCTCTCGGCCGCAGCCGACGTCGTCGGTTTTGGCTTCTTGGGCATCGGCTCAGGCGCGTCGTAGATTGGGGCCTCTGCAGCGACGTAGCGCGGTTGCGCAGAATGCTGGGTCGTTTCGGGCGCCGCTTCACCCTGTCCGCGGTGCACGGGCGTCGGTACACCCTCGCTGCTGGCGTCGGATTCGGGCATCGAGGCCTCTGTGGCGCATGGCGTTGAAGCCCACGCGTGTGAACTCGTTGTCGTCGCGTCAGGCACCGGTTGTGCGGCTGCCGCGGCCTCGGGAAAGACGACGTGGATCGGGTTGGGCACATCCGCGTGGGCCGTAGACCACCACGCGCTTGGTGCCGGCGGCGTCCACGAGTGTGCGTCCGGCACTGACGTTGCGCTGGCCCACTACACGTTTGGACTGACGGACGACCGCTGTGTCGCGCTGTCGTCTTGGTTGTCTTCGGTGGCGGCGGTCGCCGTCGTGGGTTCATTGTCACGCGGCTTGAAATCACGATCTGTAGTTTCCGACGACATATCCTCGTTTATCGACGAGCGGTGCGGTGATGTGACGCTTGGAGCTGAGGTTGCGTCGAATGCACCCGAGATGTTGTTGTCGGGTGGCGACGCAGCGTTTGGCGCCGCGTCGTCTGGCGCTTGTGGATCGCTTGCTGTGGGCGCTACCGGTTCCGATGCAGCCGAGTCGCTGACCGGGCCAGCCGGCGCGCTGGCGCGTGTCGGAGACGTTGGTGTCGTTGCAGCTGGCGCCGCGCAAGATGTCGCCCACGATGTCGTCCATGCGGGGGTGAAGAAGCCATCTTGGACGCCTTTGGCCATCGCGACGCCAGAAAAACTGCTTGTTGTCGACGCCATACAGTGGCTCGTGTAGTTGAACGTGTCGTCCTTGGTTGCTGCAAGGTACTATTCGAGGTCTGACTCGGGCGGCGGCTCGGTCGTGAAGAGCGGCGGAAGCGACGGGTCGCGATGGGCCATTTGCCACGCCAGCGGCGCGTCCAGTATGTGGCACTTGGAGTAGTCGCCAGTGAGCTGGGCTGCCTCGTAGATCTCCGTCTCAAGCTCGTCGTCGTCGACTACCGTTCCCGTCGAACCAGTGGGTGATGCAGGGCGAGAGAACTCCATGACCTCCGTCGGCAATCGCACAATGAACCCGAAAAAATCTTATTCCGACTCTTGAATCCTGCCACTGGATTGGCCAAATTGTTTACGCATCGCTGATTGGTCCAAATCCGTGTATATTGGATCTCTGCAGGACACAACGGACGACGGCTCGCTTCCATCAGCGCGCCAACGGACGCCTCGCTCGTGGCAGCGCGACAGAGAGGTCCCTCTTTTCTCCATTTACGCGGAACCTGCGGGCCGCGATCCGCTGCGTATAGCTGCAGCACATATGCATCGTCGTTGTCATGCTCCGATCAATTATTGTTTGGGTTTTGACAAATGATGTTGGCTTACCCGTCAGAATGGCGACGGCGCCGACTACTCTGACACCCGAGCACAGGAAATATTCATCCCGACGCAACTTCGTTGGACGACTTGCTTGGCAGTTGAGCGTGCACATGGCTCTCAGTTGCCACACGCTCGAACGTGATTAAACGAACACTCTGGCCACAGATGGAGCATCAATACTGGCGCCGCCGCCCATATCGAGCACGGACATAACTTCGCACACTTGAAAAGTTGTAGCAGCAGAGTTGTGTGTGTGCTGCTGTCGTCTCCACCGCGTCGGAAGGCTACTCCTACCCCTTACCTAACCCTATCGTCACGAGCACTTTGTAAATGCACGCTGCCGCGTACTCGTCGACATAAACGACAATACAACGCGTAGCACCGCCACACAGCCCTACCGTTCGATGTGCTAACACCTGGCGACTTTACATATCGCATTCCCTAGCCTTCGTCGTTGCTAGCATTGCTAGCACCACCGACAGACAACAGGAACAGCCCGCGCATGGGCAAGAAGTTCTCGAATTCTATTGTGTGTCCCTGACAGCTTTGTTCATTTGATTTGAGCGCAAACACATTTGGTTGAGACAGCACCGATCGCAGTGTCGATGCACTTTGAACTCCTCAACACTATCTTTCTGTTTTGGCTTACATCGACGGCCACGCCGTAGCTAGCCGCAACAAGCTGGTTGCTGTAGGCCTTGAATATGTTTGGTGTGGCTCGCAGGCCCCGCGGGCGTCGGCAAGACGCAGCTGTCGTACGTGATGGTGCAATTACTCAGCGCACGCCAAGGCTTTCCCGCCGGCATCCACTTTGAGCACGTTGTCAACGACAACAACAAAGTCGCATGCTTGTGCCATGGCGGCCGTCGAGCAGCGAGTCAAAGTGTTCCTCTCCAAGATCAATCCTTCCCTACGCCCCTTCTCAACATGAGCAGGCGTGAGGATGCGTCGTGTAGGGACGACAAGCAGCGCGCATTACTCGTGCTCGACGGTGTTGACCCTCTCTTGGGCTACGGCGGTCTCGAGTGGATCAAGAAATTAGACAGCAAATCCAAGAAGCTTCGCTTGCTTGTCACGGCCCGCCGTGTCGTCGAACCAATCACTGACACCACCGACACAAACAGCAATTTCCTCGCGCTGTGCACCCTACGCCCGTTTCAGCCGGTTGATGCTGTCAAGTTGCTCGAGAAGCTCCTTGGCGACAATTATGAAAGGTTGCAACTCTCGCCTCGGGTCCCCAGCGTTGGCGACTCTAGCCTCCAGCCCCCAGAGCTGGAGAAGCACCCAGCCTTGCACCTAACGGGCTTTCTACCGTTGGAGATCACCGCGCTCGCGTCGCGCCTTCTTGCGAATCCGACGTTGACCCTCGATGCATTTGTAAGTCAGAAATACTGGCCAAACATGCTGCTTGTTTTTCGCACCAGTGCATACAAACAACGTCCCGCGTCTTCTTCGCCACGTTCATCGAGCCACCGGCCACTATCGGGCGTCGCCAACGGCGTTTGTGGTTGGAGTTGGCATTGAAAGATGCACGGAGCTCACGCTCGGTAAATTGTGTTGTTGCTCGACGTCGTTGTTTTACGGCTGCGGCCCCAGCCGATTTTGGCTTTACTTGAGTACAAGATTGCTTCGTGCGGCCAGAAGTCTGTCTATCAATGAAGCGAAGTACACGTTTCATGAGGCAACGTTGATGCCTGCTGGCTGGAAGGACGGCGCCTTCGCATGCATTCGTGGCATCTCCAGCCCATGCGGTCCCTGTGTTTTAAACTGCACCTATGGGTAGTTTTAAACCATTACGCACGGGACCATTATCCGGATGCGTAATTTTGGAAGTTGCCCGCCAGCGTCACCAAGGTATGCTCCTCGCTGGACGCTCGCGGCTTCATCTCGACTTCAAAGGGCAAAGGCGAAGGGTGCGACAAGGCGCGATACAGACGCGCCCTCTACGTCCATCCAACGCGATGCACCTCCACGCTATCGTGTGGCCGCAGACCTCGGCTCGCGGAACGTCGGCTCTGGCGGACGACGGCGGCGCCGGCGTAGTATCAACGCCGCGTACGGTGGCATAGAATAGTGCGCGATGTGCATCGATGCTGCCGCTGTCCACTCGAGCCTTTCTCGACGCCGTCAGCAAGGACGATCAAGTACGTCGTTTTGCTTGCGGCTCTGTGTGCGCTGCAGCCCGCCTACGGCTCGGTGTTTTGCGAGCTCCCAATTCACAGCGTGCATGACGGGCTTCACGGCGCCCGTGTTGTATCGTTCAATGTACGGCTGTCGCTGCCAATGCGCTCGTTTCGCGGTACAACGCCATGGTGCGATCGTCTGATCTCATACGTGTACGTTAGAACGTCTTCGCTACTCCGGCGCTGGCACAGACGCAACGGGACGCTTGATTGCGACCTCCACCGGCATATGCCAACGGTCGATACGTACCAATTGTGGACGATCCGCACCGAGTCATGCGAAACCCAATGTACTCGCATGAGAATGAGCTCGGAGCTCATCGTGTGAGCTGTGCCCTCCTCCAGTCGCCTCGAGCAGCTTCGACGCGAGCGCACAGAACGCGAGGCCTCCGAGCAGCGCCGCTTCGAGACGCTCCTCCGGCGCCAATCAACGCCATGTCGATACATTTATATATGAAAGCAAACAACAGTCTTATCTATTGAGTCGTCCACTTGCGCACGCCTGCCTCGCACGCCACGGCGGCGACGGCGTTGAGGACAAAGATGCCAAACACTTGGCGGCTAAACGCTTGGGGCAGCGGCGTCGTGAGGTCGAGCCACTTGATGTTGAGATCGCTCTCTACACGCCGTGTCAGCATCAATTTGGAGTCCGAGTGGGTACCTGGCGCAAGCACAATGTACGAGAGCAGCAAAGTCATCCCGAAGGTGTAGAGCACAAACGATCTGTTGGTCCAGACGCTTTTGCGGAAAGCGTCCTTCAAGTTGAACGCGATCGCAAGCAGAAGGTACTGCAAATGACCTACAAACGCCCATGAGTCTGCAGCTGGACCTCGAGCGGTGCACCCGTCGTCCAGATGATCGACACTTCGTGCGCGTGCACCGTCATGTCCCCCGACTCGTCTGGCTGGTACGCAAAGCAAACCTTGCGGCCCGACGCGACGTCTGGCAGCGCGCAAAACCAGTCTTGTGAGTGCGCGAGCCAGAGCGGCAGAGCAAAAAAGACACCGAATAGCGCCGTCTGGCCCGCGATCGAACCCAGGACCGCTGGCGCCTACGATACAACATCAGCGTCGTCGTATCTTGTGAGAGGGAATCGTACAAAGAGCGAGTCGGGCGGACGCGCCCGCGTCAAAATCGGAGACGGACCCGTGCGCAGCATGAGCACCGAGAGTCCGAGCACGACAACAAGGTCGTCAAAGAGGTACTAGACAAGCTAAGTTGACGAATAAGAAAATAAGAATACCTGGTTGTTGGAGAAGGTGGCTTGGACGTGGTTGATGACCGTGATGAGCGTCGTCTCGATCACGGGGTACATGACCATGTACTTGAACGCGAGGAGGGACGTGGTGAGCGCACAGCGGCCTTCTTGGATCAAAGCGACGATGTCGCCAATGTCCTTGTTGCGGCTCGTGAACGGCGCCACTAGATAGATTGATACCAAGTACACTTTGGGGGTACTCTAGCGCACCGATCGAGGCCTTGGGCGTGAGCGCGTTGTTGCCCGTGATAATGTGCACGTTCATCGCCTTGGCGTGGAGCGTCGCGACTCCGGTACCATCGTGACAGCTCGTCCAGCGTGTTGGCTTTCGGGCCAGAACGCACGCTCGTGGCCAAAGCCTCTTCTACGCGGTCCAGAGTATCGCACACTGCATTCAGACGTATCGATATGTGTAGTACCTTTGAAGCAGCTGTTGGTACGCTCTTGCCGAGACCTCGGTCCAGTGGGCACGAGACCGCAGAAGCTGCCGAGAGTCTACGGCCAAGGCGCCGTGACGGCGACTGCAGGCGTACGTGCCAACGGACGGGAGCGGTCCACGCTCTGGAGGCGCGTCAAGCAGAAGACATCGCGGCAGGCGGCGATACCGAGCGTCACTCGTCGTCGTGCAGCGCGTCTCGCAGGACGCAGGACGACCAGCAAAAGGATTGGCCAGGGCTCCGCCCTACAGCCGACTCGGTGGCTCGTCGTGCGGTGCTTGTCGCCGATCCTACGTCTACAGAGACGTCGTAAGCGCCTCCCGTAGCGTGACCATCCTGGGTCCTGCCTGGCTCATTGCAGCGGTCGTGTGCGTGGTCGGTGAATGGCGCCCGATGATTGGCACAATTGTGTCGTGGACGGTGATAGGCCAGCCTCTGGGTCGTCATTTAAGGTCGTTATTATTGGCGTTCACCATTTATAGACAGATTTTGGCACGAGAGGGCTTGCCGCCTCGGCCGATCGACCCGAATCATGTTTGAAAAGCAAATCGCTCATACTCGCCAGAGTGCTAAACCACACTTTGGGGAGTCCAAAATGTCACGTGGTGTCGCTGTGCGAGCTCTGTAGCGAGAGAAAATGATGGCGACATTTCTATTTTCTCGTCAATTTTGAAATACAAACCAGGCCGCATTGCACGCACTCTGCCTCCCTCGGCCGCTTGCAGCACGCTCTCTGACACAACTAAAACGAGATGGCGGTCAAGTGACATGAATTTACACAGCCGAATAAAACCA